ACACACACACACCCATATATATAATATAGGAGATTATAATTATACCGGTGTAACTTTTACTAAGTATTACACCGCTTAATAACTTTATATTAAATGTGAATTTTATAAATCCAACCGCTAAATTGAAAATCCTTTACTCTTAAATCATATATACAAAATGTTATATTAATCGAAGATGATTTCTTATAAAACAAAATTAAATCTGTCAGAAAATTTATATTTTCGATGAAATTTTTTTTTGTAGGAAAGACTATATTATTGATGGAATATTTCCGACAAATTTATATTTGTCAAAAATGTAAGAACTGGTTTTAAATTTGATATGAAAATATTATGATATAATTAGATAAGATTTTAAGTTAGTATTTTATTAATGGTTGATAATTAGAAAATAAAACAAGGATAAATACATTTTTTGAATTTTATATGTTTGATTTAAGGTAAATAAATATATTAAATTAATTAATAATTTACTTAAAATGTTAAAATTTAATTTATAATTATGTAATAAAGAAATATTTATAATTTTATAAATTATATTATCATTATAAATTATAAAATTAAATAATTTAAATTATAATTTTAAATAGAAATGAGTAGATGTTAATTATAAAAGTAAGTACATATAAATAAAGAATAATTAAATATATTATTATTATTATTATTCGTAATATAAAATTATTATATTATTATTATAGTACAAGTATGAGATTGTATATTTGAGGATGATTTAAATGAATTAATTTGTACAAGTTATACTGACAACATACATATACATTTCGATAGCTTACTCATCAGAACTTCACAGTTAAGTGTGTTTGACCTGGAGTAGTAAAGGGATGGGTGATCTTCTGGGAAGTTTCTCAGAAATTGCGCAAGCAATAATAAAACACGCTAAAAAGTGAAATGTCGTGAGATAGAACTCTTGAGAGGAAAATTTTAAAAAAATTATAATTTTCGACGGGATTGTCCGTCAAAAATTTTTGACAGAATATCCGTCGGAAATTTCTGACGGATTAAATTATTTATGAGATTTTCTTTTCCGAAGCCACTTTTTCCGACAGATTTAAATTCGTCGGAAAAAAAAATCGTCAAAAATTTACTTGTTTCCGTCAGAAGTTAGCATTTTTCTTGCAGTGAATGTTTTATGGCCTTAGTGTCACATGTTGTTTTCTAGTATTATACTAGTCGTTGTGACCTGGTATGGTCAAACCACTTAACTTACTCACCTCATGTTGTAGGAGATCTTTGTATTTGACATGCATGACGACGCATTAGATGTGACGGATATGTTGATATGTTGAACATGCTATGAGATTTTAAGTTGTTGTGCTGGTGATATTGTCATGTTGCGAGTTATTATATTTTACTATGATAATGTTGGTTGTAAGTTGTTATGTTGAATTCTTTTCACAAGTTTATCCCATGTTTTCCTTATAGTTGGAATTATAATGATCATACTTAGTATGGAGTAGGACAAGATTAGTGGGATGACTTGTATTGCTGGTGGTTAGTTACGTTAGAGGTGGCTAGATTCTTTTGTTGGTGGCTACTTTGATTTAGTCATGTTTTGTATAAATGTTGACCAACACTTAAGTTTATTTTACTCTTAGTATTGTATTTTTGTATATAGCATGTATGTACAATATATTAGTTACCGACTATATGATAAACTTTATCTTTTGATGTATATTGTTGAGTCTTTCGTGACGCATAATTGTTTAATAGCAAGTGTAGTGACCTACTAAGTCATTGCAAAAGTTTCAAATGCAAAGACATGTGTTCCTTTGACTTGTAGAAACTTTTGACAATCATATATGATTTGTGTTTCCATATAAAGGTTGATGCAATTGTTAGGATGAGTTTTTTTTCTCCATTAGAAAAATGTGTTGCTGCTACTTGTATATTGACATATGGATCACCAACTAACATTGTAAATAATTGGCTAAGGCATTGTAGTGGAATGGTTAAAAAGATTTGTAAGGTGCTATAAACTAGATATTTGGAGTTTAGTACTTGATAAGGTCTAACAATAATGACATTAAACATTACTACAAATAGGGGAGGGAACATGTGACTTTTCAGGTATGTTAAGTCCTTTTGATTGATTAGGAATGGAAAAATTGTTTGGTTGCATGGAAAAACCAATTTTTTTTTTGTATAACAAATTTAAATAATGACTTTAACATGCTAAATTAATCTAATGTGTTTAATGATGTTTTGAAAGGACAAACTCTCACAATATAATTTACGGATGATTGAACCCCATATAATATGTTATTATCTTATAGATTATACTTATCTATAATGAGTTACAAGGTCAATAAAATCTCATATATACAAGGTATTATCTTGCAAATGATTATCTAAAGTAAGTTACATTTGCTAATACCATCTTAGTGTTACGGGGAGAGAAAAAAAAATTCACATAGCACCATGAACTTACAATAAAAGATGTGAAACACACATTTTGCATGCTCCAATCTTGATTTGCAATTATAAGTGGTTCAACACATGCTTCACATATAAATACAATCAAGTCTATAATGTTTACATGCATGTATCATCCTACATAAATGATTATTATTGAAGAAGAACCACAAACATGTAGTAGTTTTGATGTGAAGTATCTAGTGGTTCTTATCTTAATTTTGCAACATGTTTATAAATGAGAAATGCAAAAAATGAATTCATCAACAACTTTAAATAGACTTAATGAAATATATTTAAGGATATTTTAAATATGAAAATAACAAAAATTAATTTTCATATTTATGTAATGCTCAATATTTCTTATCAATTTAACTTCTATTCATAAATCAATTAAATAATTAAATTTTTTAATATAGTTTTAAAATTTATACACATTTGTTAATTCAAAATCAAATTTTATATGAATATTTTTATATTTAATATTTTTTTAAAATAAAAGTATAAAAATGTGGCCCTCAAAAAGATGAATTAACATTCTAAGTTAAGTTCTACGATTAAATAATTTTTTTTAAAGTTCTTAAATCTTACATTCTACTAAAACACATAAAAAGTGAATTAAGAAATTGGTAAAAAAAACTAGTTTTTTTTTTCTGATACAGTAGGTAAAAAACTAAATTATTTAAACAAACATATTATCATGGTCAATTCGTGACCTTATGAAATTTTTTTTGCTCATAAAGTTAAGAGTCGAAACCAACTTTAATTATCTCTATTTCTCAAAATGAATTAGTTTTGGGCCATGTAGAGGATATTCTTGGTGAGAAAAAAAAAAGTATCCTCTTCTTATTTTAATTTATTTAAAATAAAAAATGACATAAAGATTCATTGCTGGATCTGGATCAACACGTTCAACATCTACACAATACAATAGTCACAATCCCGGTTCGACCGGCTGAAACTTCCGGTCCAATCTTCATACCTACATATATCACTTCCGGTCCAATCTTCGCCCAACCCCAAAAGTCAATGAGTCACCGCGCCGCGCCACTCGCAGACGAACCGCCGCAATCCCAACCGTCAAATTCCCTTCCTCACCGCAAGAAGAAGCGCAAGCGCAGAGCCGCTTCCTATTCCGCCGAAGCCAGCTACGCCAATGCTCTCCCTCATCACGCCACTGTCGCGTGCGATGAGATACCTAAATCGGAAAAGAGTGAATCCACCGTTGGCGGCGACGCTTTCCGTTTCGGGGAGCTAAGGCAGAGAAGCGTCAACGGTCGCAATGCTTTCGGAGACTCGGCGGTTACGGCCGTTGACGACGGTCATGCGAAGGAGGTTAGTTCCGTTGGTGTTGCCACGTCAGCGACGGAGGAACCGTTTCAGTTTAAGCGTGTCTTGGAATATCAAAATGATTCTATTTGTGAGTACAATTGCGCCGCTAATCTCATTTATCTAATACTTTTGTTTTATTTTTATTTTTATTTTGCATCTTTTATGGTGGAGTGTTGTTGAGGGAACGCATGAATTTGGAATCATAGTAGCATTTAAAATTGAGAAAACATTAAATAAGTCTTTGAAAGTATAATTTAACTATATCATAGTAGTTCAAAATTAAACAAGATATGACTAAAATGATTAAATTAATGTGTGTCGTGGACCAAAATGAGTAATCAAGTTTAAGAACTTTATTTTTTTTAATCCATGGACATGTTACAAGGAGTCTCTCAAAACTCACAATCGAAAATTATTTTGCATTCACAAAATGTAATTTTTGTTGATTAAACAATATTTTAAGATAGCTGGAAATCGAACTTGAGAGATCCTGGTCCACATTATACATATTTATTTGGTATTTTCTTAATTTGCCAAATATTTTTTTACACAAGTGTTTTTTAATGATTGCATCTAAATAGCATGATGTGATGTGCTCTGATTTATTCTGACTTTCACTGACAGCGAAATCCAATATTACTTTAAATATAATAGGTTTTGAAAGCCCGTTAAGTTGGTTCATTATTGATGTTTAAGTGATAATAGAAAGAACGCATGTGATGTAATGCAGTTTTGACGGGGGTTAAACTATTAAAGCTTTTTAATTTTTGTCTTATTTTATTTTATTAAGGCTTTTATGGTGTACAACATGTTTTCAGCGAACAAGTCACCTCTTGCATACTTCTTGGAGAAAGTGTACCATGGAAATTCTGTGTGGAGCACAACAACTATTGGGAATGAAAAAGGACGAGAAAGAGTTTATGACACTATCTTCCGCTTGCCATGGAGATGTGAATTGGTATTTGGTATATTGTTTCTTTCTTCATTCAAAAAGAAAATTAATCAAAGGGGACTTTGTTTGCAGTTCAGTGTCATCAATGAGTATACTCCAGTGTTTAGATACTCTATTTTCCTTCATAGTCATTAGATCAGAATAAAATTTTCAAGTTTTGGGGAAAGGATGTAACCTGAAAGTAACAGTTCACCTACCTTGTATTGCTTATTTTTGTAGTTGCGTATTTCTATTATGACATTCTACTGTGTCATTGTATCTGAAATGTGGAATGCATTATTGCAGCTTATAGATGTTGGTTTCTTTGTCTGCTTCGATTCGTTTCTGTCACTATTAACGGTCATGCCAACAAGGATGGTGATGACCATTTGGAGGCTTCTGAAAACCAGGTTCACCACCATTCTTCAGTTTTCTTCTCTTATAGTACTTTAATGTCAGTTGAGCGTGCCTGTGACACTGAGGATTTAGATGATGGACAAACTTGCACTATTTGTTTCATTGGTTTAGTGTTGTGATTTAAGCAGTGTACATCTAGTGCAATCTTTTTTAATATTCAGTTTCAGTAATCATAAACTTTTTGTAAGAAAGAGAACAGAGGTGATTTTTATTTTTTTATTTTTTTTACCTATGTCAACCAGATTAAACAGTTGGTTTGCCGAGACATTCTAAATGATACAAGCCTGAATTTTAATTTATAACTATATTACCCTGATCCCGTGTTCGCTGAATAATTTGAACCAATCTCCCAATTTACGATACAAATATGCTAATTCTTGTGCTTTGATTTGTATGATCTTCTACCAATACTTGTGTTCTGTTTTAAAATTTGTGTTTGCTTTTCAGGATTTTCAGTTTTACACTCTGACATTATCATGCTCATGGCAGGGAGTTCAAGAGGCCATCTACAATTGAGTTGTCAGATTTTGGCTGTTTTCTCATTATGGCTTGTGGAGTCACTGTTTTGCAGCAAATAGGTATAATGATAGTTTGCTTCCATAGTTTTTTCTCTTGTATATTTCCTTTTTGCATTGATCAGTTTCAGTTCGTTACTTTGTTATGCAAAATTTTTTTATGCTCCCTGCTTTTAAATTTTTGTTGTCTTGTTAGATATCAGCTTAATATATCATATGATCCGTGGTCAAGCAACAATCAAATTGTACGTGATCTACAATGTGTTAGAGGTGAGCATAAAAAATTAACCTTTGAACCTAGGTTGTACTGATTACTTAGGTTTCCACAAAAACCAAATTTCTGGACCTCTGATTGGAAATCAAGATGGATATTCAAATTAGATTTATCGTGTGGCATTTTTACCTTAGATAGTGAGTCAGAACTTGTGTGACAATGAGGATGTGCCATGATGTGAGATATGGGAATTTGCACTGTGAATCATGAAAGTATGAATGGTGTAATATAATTGGGTACCTATAACATGGCCTTTTGGTATTTGAAAAATTCATTTCACAACTACTGAAATTGTAAGCTTAGGAGTTAGGAGTGAGGATTCTTTTTTTGATATTCTGTCTTATGTTGATTGCATAAGGGTTATAATTATCTAGACTTCTGGACTGAAACTTATATTGGCTGGTCCTTGAACCTTCTTGCAGATATTTGATAAATTATGTCAAACTTTTATTGGTGATGTATTGCAAATGTTATTTCATTCAGCAGAAGAGCTTGCAAGATGTCCCCCAGATAAAGAAAGTACTAGATTCTGGATATGGAGATTTATTTCTGACCAAGTTTTAGCAGTTGTTACTTCAAATATCCTTTTTCTTTGGGTTGATAATTTTTTTAACCTGTAATTTGGGTAATTATTTCATTGTATAAAGGCAAGGGATAAACACAAAAACGTTGATTAGATTAGTTTCCTTGACTAGTTGTACTTGTTCATTCTTTTATCTTGTTAGTTCAGGCAATCACTTTATCAGCCTGTATTGTTGCTCACTACAATGCCCTGCCTGCTTTGCTGGTGTCAAATAATTTTTCTGAGATCAAAAGCTATGTGTTTAAGGGATATAGTAAGGATAATGTTCATAGTATGGTTTACTCTGGTGAGTTATCTTTCCTACAATAGCTGTTTTTCTTTCTTTGACTGCAATCATATTTGGGAAAGGATCTTACTGTCGTGTTTATAGCCTAATTGTTGTAATACATTTTAATTGAGTCCTTAGCAGCTATAGTATGTGAATAATATCCCAAATCTCAATTATCACTCACCAAGTGGTTTTCACATAAATGAATAAATTTTAAATATTTGCCAGGTCATTTTTTTGTTCTAAGTGTCAACATTTATTTAAATTATATATCATGATAAATGATAATATCTTAACCAAGTAAAATTGCATTAATGTTTTGGGCTGTAAAACTTGAGTGGTTATTATTTTTTAATTTTTTTATTTTGAATGCCATTATCTGAATCTAAAATATATGGCCTTCCTTTGTCACCTCACTTTCCATCTTACCTGTGTGACCCATAATACAGTTGCTTCTAGAATATAGGGCCTACCTTCGGTAGAGTGCATGTTCTGTTATATTTAGTATTATTTAAGATGTATTCCCTTTTTTTATTTGGTCTCATATTCTTTCATTATTTTCTGTTTGTCCCTTTATTTTATTGCTGACTAGCAGATTCCATAGAGAGATTCCACATCTCAGCATTTGTCTTATTTGTTTTGGCTCAAAATATTCTGGAGGCAGAAGGACCCTGGTTTGAAAGCTTTCTCATTGTAAGATTATTTAAAATTATAGCAGCTAATATATAATGCTCTAGTTTATCGAGTGGAAATAAATTTCCTTGCGTGGCTCAGTCATTTTCCTAACAGTTATTTTTTACATTCAGAACATCCTCTTGGTTTATCTTTTTGAAATGGCTATAGATGTGATCAAGCACTCATTCATTGCCAAATTCAACAACATTGCGCCCATTGCATATTCTGAGTTTCTTGAAGTCCTATGTAAACAGGTATTTTAATTTGATTTCATGTGGATGTTTGCTGTGCAATATGATTAGTAATTACTGCCTAAAAGGCAAATAACTGGAACCGTACCATTGTTTATGCTATTCTAGTCGCTATTCAAAGCCTAAATTTTCAGTGGATTCATGTGAATCATACTTGAACGTACTTACAACTTCATACTCCATTGCAAATGCTTTTGAAATCATTAGCTGCAGCCTGCAGTATGTTTTGATGAGAAAGGCGCTGCATGGTCTCCTGTATACCTAATCTTTTGTTGGGCAGCATGGGGTCATGGATAGAACAGAAATATAATTAAGTTTCTCTAAATATTTTAAAAACTCACTATTTCTCTCAGGTTTCATAATCATATTATTTATCTGCTGATGTAATTTAGAAAGCCTCTTGGTGCTAACCGGTTTGTACATTGGATGAACAGAAAGGTGACATTTTATTCCCTTTCATCAAACAAATTTTCTCAGACCAACTACAGTTTCGTAACAGTCCAATGCTAATATGCTCCATATCTATCCAATAATGCCTATAAATATAATCTATAATTGTTTGAATATGCTCCTAGGATAAGCCTTGAAACCTTTATCTCCTCATTTATTATTGGTGCGCGCTCATGCCTTAGTGAATTGATCGTCAAAATTAATTACTTACAATTTGTAGCAGTTTTTCATATATGCATATAGGCATGTATTTTGTGCGGCAGAAAGAGAACAGTATCAGTCGGCATTTGAGAAAGCCTTCTATTAATGACTCAAAAATAACCAAATTTAGGAATTTTAATTTGTTTCGTGTTATGACAATAATTTGCAGTAACTTTTTGTCTATATGACTGACTGCTGTTTTTGTTTTGTAGACTCTACATATGCAAACTGAGGGTGCAAGGAAAAAGTTGACATTTGTCCCACTTGCTCCAGCATGCGTGGTAAGCATGAATTTACTGTCTTTTTTCTCCCTGCCTTATGTATGTTGATTGGGTCTGTTTACTTTTCCCCCATTTTTCGTGTTTTTAGGTCATTCGAGTTCTGACTCCGGTCTACGCTGCTAACCTTCCTTACAATTCCCTTCCATGGAGGCTTTCTGGGATTCTGTTATTTTCAGCACTAACCTACGTTATGCTCACAAGCCTCAAAGTTCTTACTGGCATGATTCTACAGAAGCATGCCAGATGGTATGTTAATCGCTGTCAAAGGAGGAAGCATCATCTCCATGCTGATTAACTCGTGGAGCGCAACTAAATTAATGTAGTGAAGAGTGCATGTGGAAAGAACCTGTTGATATAGTACTCACTTGGTGTCATCATCAGCGCTTGGCACACGCTTGAGTTCAACCAATTGGTTTTTAAACTTGATGGTGAGCCTGTACGAGTTCCTCCTTTGCAGCTAATAGAAAATAATGTTCCAAAACACGAACATTAAGTTATTGGCTGTTCATTATTGATGGCATTCTTGTAACTTCAAGCATCGTGGAAGCAAATACATTCCAAATTTTTATGTTGTTGTACCATAGTTATGCTCGTGCAAGAGTTGTTTTAAGCGTAGGCAGTAACCTCTACTACTGACTTCCCTTAAGGCTTAAGCTGTGCGATCGAGGCTTATGAATGATTTGTGTATCTGACATTATCTACATTTTCATTCTTCCTCTTTTATATGCAGTTGTACACTAAGCAAAAAAATTGTTAACGAGAAAAACGAAAATGTCTTTTTTTACATAGTTTACTGTAGCTTCCACTTTAACTATATTTATAATTGTATGCAAAGCATGAGCCAGTGATCTAGTTCTTTTTGGAGGAAATTTGTACTCCTAATCAAATTCGGAGTTGAAACGTATACATGTCTCATCTTGTATGCAGGATGACAATGGCTTTTTCTTATATGCCCTGCCAAACCAAACACTTATATACTCGATTCAAAACTTCTTCACATAACATTGTCATGCTTCTAAAGAAGACAAATTCATCCTATACGCAGTTCAGCTCTCAAAGTTTTAATCATCACGAACCTAGTTGTTCTTCAGAAGAATATAATCCAGTAGTTATTTTAAAGCGTTTGTTTTAAACTCTATTCAACAAATGACAGAATTTGCAGGTAGAATTCCTAACAAACAACAATATAAATAGGATTGTCTTTTCAATTAATTTCTTTTGCTTAAAGTAAAACGTAGAATATAATTTTTTTAATTTACTTAATGGATGCAATATCAATTATCTTTTGTATAATGACCAGTTTTGGGACATGGAGTCAATTTAGTGTTATCAAATATGATTATTGTCTATATTAAAATAATATTTGGTCAGTGGACTTCTAAGTATAAATTAGCTTTTGATTCTCAGTTTTGAAACATTATATGAATCTTAATTTTTTATTGTCAGTTTTGAGACATTACATGAATTTTAATTTTTGATTGTCAATTTTGAGACATTACATAAATTATATTCATGAAAAAAGTTTTAAAAAATCACAAATTGTCATTTAAGTATTTAATCTATCATGAATGGTGGAGAAATAGAATTTGAGATGTAAACCATATGATTCAAGTAAGATACATAAAATGTAGGAGTGTGTAAGTGTTATGTACGACGAAAAGGTATAACTCAAACGCACAATCGTAAGACTGCTATATGGAGCAAAATGTTGTGCAATAAAAAGCAAATAAGAGAATTAAAGTCAATAAACTCAATAGTAACGATGAAAATGTTGAATCGAAATAGTACACTTACTAATGCATAAGAGAAAAAGTTAGGATAACTGTAGAACTGATGGTTAAAAAAACTTTACGTGATATGTACATGGATGATATTCCCATTGGTGAAAACTACTGGAATATAAATTCAAACTTTTAGTTTTAAATATATGAAAATATTATTTAGATATAGAAAGATGTTATGTTTTTTATTAGGGACATTATTTGGAATTAAATTATTGTGCCTATTGGATTTTTGTTTACATTAAGATACAAGGTCAATAAATAGACATTTTTAATATGAGAAAAATTACTTAAACTTGTTGAGAGGTTTACCACTCTAAATGAGAGAGAGGAAATCATATAAGATGTTGTGAATGCAAGTATAAAAAATTAAATCATATTAAATAAATTATTTTATGTGATATTTTCTTATTTATTTTATGATGTTTTTTTATTTCTCTTTCATTGTTATTTGTAAAAAAAAAATAATATTTTTTTCCCAACAATGGCAAAGGGAGACCGAAAAGAAATATAAACAAAAGCATGTTAAGAAAAATTTAGAGACAAACACTTTGTCTAAAAACCCGATATAAAAGAGGGATTTAGTTATTCTAAAAAGAGGTGATGCAATTTACAAAATATAATTCTCCCATCATGATTGATTAAAAAAATTGAGAATTGCACACAATTTTTTTTTGAGAATTATAATAAAATTAATAATTCTTTTGTTGGTAGAGGCAGTGGCAGGCGGGTGGGAGAAAAAAAAAAGCATAATTATTAAATAAGAAATAAAAATATTTTTTTTTTTATCTTTCAAGTGTTGTGTATTTAGAATAAAAGATTAAAAGTTATTTCATACTTTATTAATTAAGAAAATTAAATTTTTGTCTTGTTTATTTTAATTTGATTTGTATTATTTTGTAATTTTTTTTAAATCAAACACAAAATAGTTATATTTATTTTATCCAATATTTTAGTTTATAGCAAATTAAATGGACTCCTAATAATTAAGTTTGAATTAACTTAAGCTTAGTGCAAGTTAAATCATAGACTCCTCACTAATCATCTACACTACACTATGTTTTGGATGATTTAGGGGAGAGAGATTTGGAAATAAAGAATTTACGAGAGATATTGAGTATTTCTATTGATTGGAGAGAAATTGAGAAGAGGTCGTAAAATTTCGCAAGTTTCATCATATTGCATTTTCTCTCGTTTTAGTCATGAAGTAGTGCTTAAAATTAAATAATTTTATTAATATAAAATTAGAAAAAACAATTATAAGTGCTTTTTTGTTAAAAATAATAATAAAAGAATATTTTTTAATTGATATAATAATTCTTTTATTTTTCTATTTATTCAAACAACACACCTTTTTCACTATATTTCTTTCTATTTATTTTTCCCTATTTCTTTTCCTCTCTATTTCATTTTATCAAAATAAATCACTAATTATATTGGTAATAGGCAACCATAAATTCACTATCATAAATTTCTATTTCTTTCCCTCAATCTATTACACTCGTAATCCACGTAAATCTATGTGCTCTTATATTCAAAGGTTACTTGGAAAAGTCCATGAGATATATAACTATAAGTTCAATATTGAATCAACCATTGAAACTCTCCACCATAGAAATAATAGCTTTACATATTTTCTTTTTTTAATCTTTCTATAAAAAAAACCTGATCATATCTTATTAGCTACTCAACACCCTCCAACTATTTAACCATTTTTTAAGATTCATCCCTTTGGCCTTCACGTTTTCGAGCAACATTATGTCTCCCATTAGCTCAACTACCCCCATTAATCACCTACCAATTATGTTATTCAACAAAAACCCTTTTGCAAAAAACGCAATAATAATTGAGTAATTGAAGTAGCTTATTCAAGTCATCTCGTTACTAAAATTTATTAATTATATAGTCGATTAATCATCTAAATATGAAAGGCAATGAATGAATTCAAATTCTAAACCCTACATACTAATCCAACTCAATTTATTGGAAAAAGTGCTTGACTTATCATAAATAAAATATATCCAAACAATTACATATGTGCTTTACAAGTTAGTTCACATTTTGTCTAATGAAATTATTTTCATAAATATTATTAGTATTTTGTTACTTGGTCTCTATACATTGACTCGATTAAAAAAATCATTTCCGGAGTGCAATTTATTTTCTTGAAAGAAAGTAAAATATATAGATGGTGTGTGTATTATTATATAATAATAGCGACTTTTGAGTTGTTGTGATCGTGGAGGTGAGCACATAGAATCCTGAGGTGTTGGTTTGAAGATGGACAAACATTTGGTGAGTAATAAGGACTTCAAACTATAATATAATTATATCATGCACTTCGAACCGCAACTTAACTACCATATAACAACTACAAAGTAAAAGTAATAAAATAAATAAAATTACACTCATCACATTTTGTATTTCCACTTCTCTTATGATACAACTTAAATACAATATCATAGGTATTATATTATTAATGGGAAAAATTAATTCTAATTGGATAATAAGGTACATATGTAAATTTTATTCCTTTTTTAATTGTATTTCTTTATTCATTATTAATGAGATACAGACATTTCGTACTTTAATTAAATAAAATTAAAATTAAATAATAAAAGTATGTTGATTTAATTAGAGTTATAACTAATTCATTATTTTCAAGATCTTGGATTTGATAAAAATATTATTTTTTTTTCTAATTTTTTTAAAATAAAAAAGTATAATGATGAATAAAATGTGGAGACGAAAATGATTAACAAAAGGAGTATCTCCTTTATATATTAGTATAAATAAACAAATATTTTTCTTCGAGTACATGAATTTATATTTTTTAGGAGTTTCACAAAAATCAAATAGATGGACATCCCCTCCTAACTTGAATTTTTTGTATATATAAGAGAATAGGATTTTAACTTTAGTCACTTAATTGAACAACAATAGTTTCTCATCACTTGCACCAAATTCAAGTTAGTCTTTTGCTTAATTATTTTAAAAAATAGTATATTGGTAACTCTTATTTGTTTGAAAATTGATCATGTATACTGATAAAAGAGGTTGGTGTAAACATTAAAAAAGCAAAAAATTATGTGCAATCTTAAGAAACTTTTCTAATAGATTGTTAGTTTGAGTAAAACTAAATTTAATTCACTTCCGTGTAATTAAATGAAAAAAAGAAATATGGTTGGAAGAGGGATAGCCATCCAAAAGGTTAATTATTAACAAAATCAATATATATTTTGTACTAATAATATTATTAAAACAAAATCTTAAAAAAAAAAAAAAACTAAGAAATATAGTGTAATTTACTTATAAAAGAAACAGCTTAGGACAATTTAACAGTGATCCATAGATAGAGACAAGTGAAGTACATAGTATTTATTTTGCAGATTACTACACATGCGATCGTAGAATAAATGCAACTATTTCAGTGTGAAGTTCAAGAAACAATTAAGGTGCACAGAATAGAGAATCTAATTTAAAATTAAGTGATCTGAATAGCGCAATAAATATCAACTGTAGACAAGAGGCAAGAGTAGTGACGAATCCGGATTCTCTGACTTTAGGGATAAATAGTGTAGTGGTGATTGTGGTGGTCTTTGCAACCTTAAAACTGAGGTTTGAAACTTACTATAGGCTTAACAATCCAAGCAGAGGCGCAGCAACCCAAGCAGGTGCACAAGGATAGAAGAGGTAGAACAACCAGGCCAAAATTCAAATAAAGAAGGTCCAATCACTCCAATATTCGGATCCGGATTCTCTGACTTTGGGGAAAGAAAGTTATGGTAACTTAATACATCTCAACCGTTAAATGTATAAAAATAAATCAGATTGTGACACGTGTACAATATATATTTTAACTTAAATGTACACGTGTCACAATCTGATCATTTATTACAAATCTAACGGTTGAAATGTATTAAGTTACCCTAACTTTCCCTCCACAAAGTCAGGGGATCCATTTCCGAGTAGTGACAGTGGAAACACCTATTCAATGTCTGCTTCTT